AGGAAGAACTAAGTCCCGCTACAGTATTCTGAGTGAGGAAAGGAACAACATGCGTTCTTTCAATAGAGAACGTTTCCACTTGCGTCTATTTTCCAAATTTAGACGAATTTCATAATTGCAATATTAAAATCCGACCACGCAATGTGAATAAAATCTCCTGGGTGCTTGTTTTGCACTTGACTGACCACCAGTTTTCGTTTCTACATTTCTTGTCGTGTCTCTATAGTCGTTCCTATGTTTGGTTACTTCTCCTCCACTACTAAAATCCCTCTTTTGTACTCGAAAAAGTAAATCTACAAAAATATGTTACGTGAAGGGTCCGATTTTCCTCTACCCACTTAAAGAAAGCATTAAAATGTGATGTTGCAAGCGTATTCTACATAAATAAAACGTAAAGAGGCCACCTAGCTTACTGATATTTGTGCGTCAAATACACATGCAGTTCTGTTATGTTATTCCGCGGCAGTTTTCTCTAGGAGGACTCTGTCTTCAGATAAGAACGGCCGACCGTGTCCGGTGACAGTTTTTAATTTTGACCAGAAAAATGCATCTTGCTGCCTCAATGCCCAGAAAAACGGAACCGGTCTTTGTTTTAGGGAAAAAAAAACAAAGTTACCTTCAAGGAAACAAGTCAGAAACACCTGCTCAATTTGAAGCGTTGTCTGTGGATTTATCAAAATTGGCATTTCAGGCAGCTCTCCCCGAAAATGTGTTGTGGCTGCTGGCCCGTATCGGGATGGTTGACCCAAATTATTTATCACTACGTATCGACGTCGTTATTTTGAAATAAAAAATCGCACAGACGACGGCACATTAAGCAATACTGCCAAAGTTTTAACTTTGTTTTTCTCCGCATTTATTCAAGCCCGTTTTCAAACTTTGCCAGCGTGTTGTCCTCTATTTGGCTATAAATATTGTTGTCCTGATTAGCAGGAAAAGTTGACGAGAAACGCTCAGATCGAGGCATTTTACTAAATATGCATACTTTTGAAAATCAACTAAAAAAATGCTATCTTCGATATTTTAACTCTTCCAAAATAACGCCAATAGTATCTATGAGCATGATGTGCAAAAATATTATGGCATTGTTTCTGTGTCTTATACATGCCCGTAGTTGACAAGTTCATAATTTTCACAGCCCGTAAGAGTGCTCCGGGGTGGTCAGATTGGCAGCGCAGGGGTGGGCGATAGTTTCTAAGTGATAATGTTTAGCAAGTTATTTTTTCTTCGTACAAGATTTAAAAAAAAAAAAGAAAGTACGCATGAGCCGGAGCAATCGAGAGACGCTAGCCTGTCACACGCTTCGCAGGGTACGTTTTCGGTAGTCGGCGTGTAGCGTCTCTGTGTACGCCAAGCAAAGGAATCAACAGAAGTGGTTCCGATAGCAGATGTTTATCTCAGCGTGTAAGAGAATGGGGCTGCCGAGAACAATGATATTCGGCACGTAATCTCAAAAGAAATATTATTGTGCTACAATAAATAGGACGTGGACGGGAAGGAATACACGAAGTTCCGGGCGGACGCCCATCTTCGTGTAAGAAACAAAAAATCGGTGAGTCACAAATGTATAGCCCCCTTTTCTTGTGAGGTATACGACCCTTTCTTTGTTTCTCGCCGTGTTTCGTATCTATCACTTGAAAAAGAACGGTCGCCCGAAACGTCGTATTTTCCTTCCCGTCCACGTTTTGGGCAGTGTAGCTGCATCTTTCGTGTTTTTTGATTAATTGGTCACCCGAAGGATCACCTCACAAAAATGGGTGCGTTGATTGAAGGAAAAGGAGGAGAGGCGAAACCATTAGAGGGCACAACCTCTTCGGTTGCCATATATTATTAGAGAAGATAGTCACATGCGACTTCATGCCCAAAACCAAAACCAAAAAAAGGGACTTGTAGCTGCGCTGCAATCAGTGATGACACCAGCCACGATTCCGCCCGCGCATACTACGGCCTTGGGAACATTCACGAGTGGCTTGAGGACGTTGCTCCTTTCTACGCACATTTTATGTGGGTCAGTGACGGCGGAGCAAGCTACTTCAGGAATAGGCACCAACTTCATGAGCTCGCTAAGACCGAGTACCTGTCGGCCAAGTGGCTAGTTTCCGCTACTGGGAGGCAAGAACGCCTGCGATGGGATTGGAGGCCTCGTCAAGCACCATGATGCAACTGTTTACAACCTTTGAGGGCCGGCTACATCAGATATGAAATGTGCGTCAGATATGGTGGACGTCCTCAGCACCAAATTACCCAACGTGGCATTGATTAGCAAGGGCTGACTTTCAGGAGTTCAGTTGAAATGAAAACAACAGCCTGGGATTCCCTCCATCCCGTGCCTGGGATTCCCTCCATCCCGTGCCTGGAATTCAATCCTGGCACTGCTGACAGTGTATACATGCGTCAACTCACTGCGACACGAATTGCTCGTAGCACGAACGATAGCGTCTACAAACAAGCCACTCGGTCAATAAAGGCTCGATTCCACCAGGCCTGCTGGCAGGCTAGTGCGAAGCGGCTACAATGAGTCTAAGACAAAAATGGGATGAAAAAGGAGCAGAAAAAGTCTCAAACAAACGAACTGTCCAGCTCGCTTGCACCTTTGCATTTAATTGCATTATAAACAAACAAAAATCTTTCTTCCTCTTTTTTTTTTTTTTGCGGTGTGCGGTTCTTTACGGCCGAGGCTCTATTGCCGCGCGAAGGTGCCCCCGTTGTACGGCGCCCTATCCTCAATATCGTGTTAGAGCCCTATATCCTGTTACCTAAACGCCTGTTATCGGAGCCGCACCGATCGTTTCCCCTACGTGGCGTGCGCAGAGACGCTACACGCCCGCTATAGAAAACGGGCCCTGCGAAGCGTGCGACAGGCTAGCGTCTCGCGATTGCTCCAGCTTCTGCGCATTTTTGTGACTCTTGTACTAATAATACAGACAAAAAAAGACGTATCAAGAATCATCACTTCAAAAGTACCCTCCACCTCTGTGCTGTCAATCTGACCACCCGGGAGAAGTTTTACGCTGTGTAAAAATAATGAAATTGTCAAATAGGCGTACGCATGCACAGGCCTCATTCATGGCAACCGCGGTAGCCTTTATCTGGCCAGATTTTCTTGCTTTGTAACTTTAAAGACACACAAATAATGCAACATATTTTTGCACATCCTGTTAGTACATATCACTGGCGCTAACTTGGAAGAGTTTGAAAAAATCGAAGATGGCCTTTCTTTTTAAATTGATTTTCAAAATTATGCACATTTACGAAAATGCTTTTATTTGAGCCTTTTTCGTGAACTTTTCCCGTTAACTTAGGACAACAATATTTGTCACGAAGATTAGCCAAGTAGAGGACAACACGCTGACAAAGTTTGAAAATCCTGGCTTGAATAAATGCGGAGAAAGAAAGATAAAACTTAAGCTGTACGGCTCATTGTGCAGTCGTCTGTGCGATTTTTTATTTCAAAGTAACGACGTCGATACTTCGTGATAAATAATTTGGGTCAATCATTTCCATACTTACTTTGTCGGTAAATATTTCTGGGCCAGTAGTCACAACACATTTTGGGCGAAAGTTGCTTGAAATGCCAATGTTGCGAAATCCGCAAACAACGCTTCAGATTGACCAGGTGTTTCTGACTTTTTTTTTTCTTGGAGGCAACCCCCCCCCCCCCCTAAAGAAAAAAAAAAAAGAAAACAACAACAACAACGACCGGTTCCGTTTTCCTCGGCATTGTGGCAGCAAGATGCATTTTTCTAGTCAGAATTAAAAATTGTCACCGGATATGGTCGACCGTTCTTATCTGAAACACCAGATGCACCTTCCGAATTGTGCAAAGCATATCGAAGCGAGTAGATTAAACAAAATAAATAATGTCTTCGTTGTTTGCTATAATTGTTCACGAGGCCTATTATTATTTGCTCTTTTGGTTTTTATTATTTCTTTTTTAATATGTAGCAATGCGTTCGAAGAAAGTGTGATTTTGTTTTAGTTGGTGAATGTCATTTGTGCTGACATACATGATGATAAGCTACGATATTGAACTGCGGAAGTGAAAAAACAATTCTTCTTATTGCACAAAAACTCCCTTCGCGAGATTATGAATTTCCCGAACAAACTACACATGGGGAATTAACCCTTTGATGCCCACAGTAGCTCAGGAGCAACACTCCAAAGAATATTTTTTTTCTACATACCAAAGACGCCAGGAACCGCGAATGCCCATTGTAGCTCTCATGCAACACCTTGTGTTTCGCCACCTACAACATAGATGGCAGCACGTGCCCTGATTTTATTCTATACCCCAACTTCATTGCGTCGGCAGCCACGTTTTTTTGGGTGCTCCGCCAATGTAAGTACTATTCTAAATATAATATTACCCAATAGTCTTTCGAGACAAATAAGCGTCTGAATGCAATCTCAACTCGTAACGGAAAACGTTCATTAACAAATATATTAGTTTTTGTCTGGTTTGTCTAACCCTAAGTGGAACACAAACTTTTGTAGCTCTGAAGCTACATTGGGCGTTCGTGTTACTAGTGGTTCAGATCTTCGTGGTTCAGTCGTACTTCGATTTATGTTGTTCTATCGCCATATAAAGTATGGATATTCAGTGTAATTTAATTACTGTAATAGTTACATTCTCATTGATAAAAATATTCAAATGAAATATGTTGGTGTAATATTTTTTACTGTCCAGATGAGTGGTACCGGAAGAAATGGACACCTTACTGAAGAAGAAATTCAAGAGCTAATATTTTTGCCTGATGGGGATATTTCTGATATGGAGATTGACAGTGATCCCGATGACCCTGACTATGACCCTGCGGCTGACCTTCAGTTTATCAATCTCTGCCCTTTGGAAGTCGTGAGGGACATTGATACCTCTATGAACGCTCAAGAGGAAGCGTGCTTACCACACAAGCCATCAGAGACACTATCAACCAAGCCGTCAGTTCCTCCTCAATCCCGGATGGCATCAAAAAGAAAGGATTCTAGAAAATGGATACGAGATGACATTGTGTTCACTGATCATGAGTGGAAAGGATCATTGCCACCCCCCCCCCCCTGAAGAACTTCCCACTCCATACGAGTACTTTGCGAAGTTTTTTGATGAAATGATGTGCGAAAGACTCACATTTGAAACAAACCTCTACAGTGTGCAACAGTCTGGCAAGAGTTTGGGTGTTACTGGCGAAGAGATGAGGAAGTACTTGTCTATCCTTGTGCTCTGTGGTGTCATAAAAATGCCGCAGTTCAGAATGTTCTGGCAGGGTGGGACAAGATATGCACCTGTTGCAGACCTGATGAGCCGGAACAGGTTTGAGGAGATACATCGCTTTTTACATATGAACAACAACATGGAGCAGAAACCAAAAGGAATCGAGGGACATGACAAGCTCTTCAAAGTCCGTCCCATTATAGACGCGCTCCGACAGAACCTAAGACTGGTGCCACCGGAAGAAAAGCAAAGCATCGATGAGCAAATCATACCATTCAAGGGCCGCAGCCAGATGAAGCAGTACATCAAAGCGAAGCCACACAAATGGGGCTTCAAGGTGTTCACGAGGGCCAGCTCGTCGGGCATAATGCACGATTTTGTCATTTATGAAGGTAAAGGCACTGCAACAGACCATGGATTAGGAATCTCTGGAGATATCGTTCTTGATCTTGTCAGGGACCTACCACAAGGGATAAACCACAAAGTCTTCTTCGACAACTGGTTTTCCAGTTTGCGTCTGGTTGAACATCTAAAAAAAGAGGGCTACCTGTCAGTGGGAACTGTCAGGTCAGACCGAACTGAAAAATGCCCCTTGGCTCTGGACTCCGAGCTAAAAAGTCAAGGCAGGGGTGCCGTGGACTACAAACTAGATGCTGAAAGTGGGGTTCAAGTCATCAAGTGGCTTGACAATGCAACTGTACAGTTGGTGTCAAGTTACGCTGGCGTTCAGCCTACTGACACGTGCACCCGTTGGAGCAACAAAGAAAAAAAACAGATAGAAGTGACTCGACCAATTGCAGTAAAAGAGTACAATGACTCAATGGGAGGTGTCGACCAGCAGATATGCTCATCGAGTTATATCGTACCGACCACAAGTCACGAAAGTGGTACATGAGGATCTTCTACTGGACCATTGATGTGTCCATCGTGAATGCCTGGTTGCTCTACAAGCGTCATTGCAAGGCGACAGACACCCGAAAGCCACTTTCGCTGCTAAGATTCAGGATGCATGTGGCTGAGGCGCTTGGCTTGAGAAATGCCAATAAACAAAAACGGCAGTCTCGTTCAGAAGACGAAGCATCGCCAAATCAAAGCGCTAAGCATCCAAGAATGCAGAAGCCGGTGGACGATGTTCGGTACGACGGTGTTCAGCACTGGCCAGTCATTGGGAAAAAAAGGCAACGCTGCAGGTCCTGCTCAAAAGGATTCAGTTTCCTCTACTGCAGCAAGTGCAACGTGCATCTCTGCCTGATCCCCAGCAGAAACTGCTTCATGGCATTTCACACTAAGTAGTGGTCCCGAATGCCCAATGTAGCTCAGAAGCAACATTCCACAAAAGCATAACCATTAAAGCCAATTTTTAAATTTTTGTTGGAAATCGTTTTTTTACTCGTTTTGAATTAACCCTGAAAGTTTCACCTCATTCTTTCACCGGGAAAGTAGTTTGGGCATCAAAGGGTTAAATCCCCATGTATCGATTTAAGTTACCTGTGGACGAACGAGTTTTTTTTTTTAATTTTATTTAGCACGACATACTTCTATCTAATTTTCCGTCATTTATACGTTCGGCATTAGTCATTTGATTACTTGGTGTTTTCCGCAAGGTAGCTCGTAAAGTAAAAAAAAAGTAGCAAAACACACCTAAAATGCCTTCCGAAGTCATTATCTTGTGTAAGTACTAGGACGTTTTGTAAATTTTGGTGGTAAACCTAGGGAGACACAGGCTATCACTTTGACATAATGTCAGTGTTAGTGTTATCCGATTACCTCATCTTGCGAGACGTTTGCTTTTAGAATCTCAATAATTGGCATACTTTTCTAGCAACACACGCAGCACACGCACACCTCAAAAGAGCGGAAACAAATGTAAAAAAAAAAAAAAAAAACGCGGCACGGGTTATTTGCACTCTGTCGCCCGTTGGCGATGACATGAAACGCCAACAGTCCAAATGGACATAGATGTGCTCATTTCGATGCCGCTCTTACCTCCGCGGATTCCCGTTTTGTCGCGGAGGCATGCGGTTTAGAAAAGCTCCTTTTAGGGAACGCCGTTTTATCGATATCAGTTTATCCAATCGCAGTTTAGAGAAAATGATGGCAGCCGGGGTGCCGTTTCCGATATCCCCCTGGTTCATTAGCTTAGATTGCCGAACCCTTGGCGGTGAACTATTGGTCGTGCACGCTCAAGCTTGAGGTTATAATAAATTTTCCTCCAGCGACAGTGAGGGGTGACCGCGCCAAGCGCGGTCTGATTGGAAGCCTAGCTTGTAGTGGTGCAAAAATATCGATAGTACTATCGATAGTATCGATAGTCGCCAGAAATCTGACTATCGATAGTGAAAGAAACTATCGATAGTACTATCGATAGTCGTCTATCGAAAAACTATCGCTAGTCGACTATCGAAAATCTATGAACAGTACTATCGATACTCGACGATCGGAAAATTGTTGTTAAGCGACAATCAGAAAACTATCGATAGTCGACTATCGTAAACCTATCGATGGTACTGTCGACGATTTAATATCGATAGCTATGCGACATTAGTAGTGTGCGTCGCTCCCTCGTCTCTTTTTCTCGCTTTATTTTTTTTTTTTTTCAAATGGGACACCAACTAGCCCAAGCAATTACCGTCTCAACTTCGGTTCAGCTTACAGTGATGACGAAGACGGGAGTTTGGGCGAAGAGAGGAGGAAGGGGAAGCGAGCGGCGGTGCGGCAACTGTGTTCGCTCTAGTAGTGCAAAACTATCGATAGCATTATCGATAGTCACCAGAAAACTGAGTATCGATAGTAAAAAAGGAATCGATAGTACTATCGAAAAACTCTCGATAGTTGACTGTCGAAAAACTATCGAGAGTACTATCGATAGTCGACTATCGAAAAACTATCGATAGTACTACCGATAGTCGACTATCGATAGTTCTGCGACACTATCGATAGTTTTGGGAAAACTATCGATAGTATCGATAGTCAATTTATCGATAGTTTTGCATTACTACTAGCTTGCCGCCGCCTAGAAACAGCAGTTCTCAAACGGAGGCCTCGATAAAACGTGCACCTCTCGCTAAACCTGTACTTCGATAAACCGTACCCCTTTCGCTAAGATGAGCCTCGATATAACGGCGTTCGATCAGCCGTAGTAAAGACGCTTTGTCGCTGTTAGTACAAAACCTACCGCTTTCGCGTAGCAAAATATTTTATTTCACTTTCTTTTTCTGTCAACTGGTTAACCTGATCGGTTCATTGAGTGTGAAGTCTTGCGAGTCTGTAAGTTGCCAAGCCCATTCATTTGCGGGTGCAAATGCCGCGGCGGCGGATCGGCAGGTTACGCGAATTTGGTTTCGCCTGCCTCCCCTCCAACTTGGGGTGAACTCGTCCGTCCGGGGCCCGCTCTTCGACAGAGACGTCTGCGCTCAAGTTCACCCAGTTCAACTTCAAAGCCTCCTGCCTCCTTTTTCTCGGTCGGAGACGCGCGCGTCTGTCTCCTTTTGTTTCCCTTCACTTTCAGTGCCCGCAAAGTCCGTCCGGACGGAGCTGGCGGCACCGGGCAGCGTTGGGCCGCGTGCACAAAGTAAAAACAAAAGGAAAGACCTCGCGCGGAGTTTGCACGGGTTCTGGCTCTTTCGTTTGTTTTGGGTTAGTTTTTGTTTGGTGTTAGTTTTCACGGTGGCATTCCGCAGCATTGTTGAATGCTAGATATCAAAAGAAGTAAAACACGTACAAATAAGTGCTCCGCCACAATTTTCTTCTCCGGTGAAGACCATCTGCACGTTCCGTAAAAATGACTTTAGGAGCTACTTTTCGGTAGTCTATAGTGGCCTGCACTTCAAACACGGACTGCATGTTTGAGGCCAAAATATGTCTAGCAAGCCGTTTCTCACTCAGCCGATCCTGGGTCTTTATTCAGTTCCTTGTGTGCGCTTGTGGTGTATTGCTTTCAAAAGACGTGCTCTAGCGTTCGACCTTGGTATACAAAGAAGTGAGATTTAGAAGATTTCACTGAGGTCCGGACGAAGATGAAAGGCGCAATCTTCGGGAGCAGCCCAGTGAAATGGCTTTGCCGCGCTTTTTAGATGAGTGCATACAAGTGTGCAGCTTTAGCTTCTCGGGGGCGAAGGTGCAGGCTCTCAAGGAGAACATTGACGGGTTGCCTCTCAAAAAGTTCGATTTCGCGGTAGTCTACGTAGGCGGAAACAACCTGCGAAATGGCGACAGGGGGTCAGCCTTGGTCAAAGAAGAAGAGCTTACAACACCCCAGCATGGTTGTAAGCTATGGAGAAGAATGTGCTGATTTTCGGAGAAGTGTGGTTTAGGGAAGCTCGTTTTAGCGAACACTGTTTTCACGACAACAGCAGATCGGATCGCCGTTTAGAGAAAATGGCGACCGCCCGCATGCTAACCAACCTTTGGCGATCCACGCTCGAACTTATATTAAACTTTTCCCGAGCGATAGCGAGGGGTGCCCGCACGAAGCGCGGTCTGTTTGGAAGCCTAGCTTGCCGCCGCCTACAAGCAGCATTTCTCAAACGGAGGCCTCGATAAAATGTATCCATTTTCGCTAAACCGTGCTTCGATACACTGCACCCCTTTCGTTGAAACGAACCTGGATAAAACCGCGTTCGATAACCGTAATAAACCCGTCTTTTTTTTTTTCTTTTTGACACCTTCAATAGTCGTTTGAAGCAAACATCAAAGTTTGTTGTGCAACACGAAAATCATGCAACTATCTCAAGGTCTTGTTATTTTAGTTTTATACTAGATCCCAAAGAAAAACATGACGAATCTACATCTTTTGGCTAAATTTTATATTTTCGTGTTCTTTCTACCGAGAAATGCTATCACATATTTTCCGATGATTCAATAAGTGTGCGCGTTTTTGCAAAGCACAGCTAGCATCTGGACTTTGCTTTTCGGGACCTGCTCCTATGGCTCAGGCAAAGAGTACATTTTGTGTTCTGTTACAAGCTCATACCGCAACTCCGAAAGAAGGCAGTTGAGCCCGAAGTACGGTTATTCAACAAGGCACTGCCACGTGCAATAGAGTGCACAAAGGAGCGGAACTTGGTCGTCTTGAATGTGGACGTAAGTTTGTATCTTTCTGAGTCGCCCTTTCCCATAAAATCGCTCGTCTCTTGCAATTGCAAGGTCCTTAGATGTTCTAAGCAGCTAATTAGAAGAGGACAACTATCATATGTCATACTAACTCTATCATATGACCTACCATAACACTATTGAGAGGAGTTTACGCGTAATTTTGTTCAGTCTAACGAAATTACTCCTACTTTTTGACGCATTACATTCTAGAGCATAGCGGCATTGATTTTCGCAAATGGTAAAGTACATTTGCATGAGCCAGGAGAAGCAGGAAAAATATTTTGATAATCTTAATGCCCTATTTGGGTCCTCAACATTCGTGTTATTACAGCGCTGAAAATAAAAGCCACGAACACAAGAACTTTCGTTCTGCCTCGGACAGCGCGCACCTCGATAGAAATTTAATGGGACCCGGAATAGGGGTAGCCACCCATCGTTCTCCCTTTCTATTTTTCCTTTATTAGACTTAATACAGATGTTTTTTAACAACAGCAACAAACAAGTATGTTATGCCGGTCTACCTGCCGGCTACCATGAACGTGTCCTCTCCTCACTCGCTTATCCCCCAATGTACTGCCTTTTATTTCGCCTTTTGTAGGGAGAAAGGCTGGCGCGTGCGCTAAAACCGGAAGCCGTGACTAATTTGCTTCCACGCGGTTTAAAGTTGCGTTGCAGCAATTTTAAGTTCGAATTTCGGGCACTTTGCACAACCATACTGACACAAGTGTCGCGCAAGTATCTCATGCGCAACGCCATGAGCTACAAGTTTAATCGTCGCTGCGTAATTACGTGACCCCACGC